AAGCTGGGGCCCCAGCCCTCCCTGCTCAGTCCCTGTGCTGTCCCCTCAGCTGGTTGAGTGAATCTGTCAAGGAGGAGGCCCAGGGGAAATCATTTGCATATGCCCCAAACACTCAGCAGTCCCACAGGGCCTGAGAAGAATAAGAGAGGCTGGGGGAGCCCCGCTGTGCTGTGGTCTCTGAGGCAGAGTTGTGGGGGTGTCACCATGGCCTGGAGCCCTCTCCTGCTCCCCCTCCTCACTCTCTGCACAGGTGCTGTCCCCAGGCCCTGCCCCAGGGTCAGCCACTACAGGACCCTGAGCTCAGCCCAGCACCTGGGTTTCAGGGCAGGGCCCCTGGGAAGGGTCTTTAATTCTGAAGCTCTTCCTCCTCTTCTGTCTTGCAGGTTCTGTTTCCTCCTATGAGATCACACAACTGCCCTCGGTGTCAGTGTCCCCAGGACAGATGGCCAGGATCACCTGCTCTGGTGATAAACTTGACAAAAAATACATCTCCTGGTACCAGCAGAAAGCAGGCCAGGCCCCTGTGCTGGTGATATATGAAGATAGTAAGCGGCCTTCCGGGATCCCTGAGCGGTTCTCTGGGTCCAGCTCAGGGAACACGGCCACCCTGACCATCAGTGGGGCCCAGGCTGGGGACGAGGCTGATTATTACTGTGCCAGAGCTGATGACAGTGGGAGCAGCATTCAGTGACTCACAGTGACACAGACAGATGGGGATGTGGGACAGGAACCTCCCCAGCTTCACTCTCAACTCTCTGAGTTCTGACCAGACTTTGGTACCAAGTATCTCAGTTCCTTGTCAATGCAGCCCAGGAAACACAGAAAGCCTGCCACTGAATTGTGACATTCACAGAAACAAAGTTTCATTTCAAATCCACTCAACCTCTAACATTCATTCAGTTCCCTTCAAAAAGCAGCGCACAGCGATCCTTTTGCAGTTCATCACCCTGATGAGTGGATTCCATGTGCATGTGTTAGATGCGCCTCCCACACATTTTGTTACGATGTCATGGTGAAAAGGTTACCCATCGGACTTAAAAAAAAAAAAAAAGCAGAGCACAGGTTCATGAGATCAAAACTGTGTCCAGTCTACCTGGTTCCTGTTATTGAACCCCACACTGTCTTTTGTTATCACAGAGTCTGGGAGGAGAGGGCTCTGTTTTCCTTCATTCTGTCCCTGACACCCTGCCCTTGGGAGAGGATAAAGCCCTGGGAGCTGAGTGGTTCCCCTTCTCAGGGTGACATTTACTGATGTGTCAGGACAGCTCTGGGAGTGTGAGGACAGGGTCAGTCTGCTGATTCATGTGCAGAAGACCCGTGTCCCTGAGCCTCTCAGATCTGACCAGAGTCACACTCTGTGTGGCACAAACACCAGTTCGTGCCACCATTCACGGATGAATGCCACTCCTTATTTCTAACTTCTGAATTAAAGCTTTTCCAGCAAACACTGGACTAGGAATGGTCAGGAAGCCAGCACATGAGAAGGGTCCTGGGGCTCCCAGGGCTGCACTGAGCCTGTCCTTGTCACCCTGTGAGAAAAACCTTCCCAGTTCCCCAGGACGCTGTGCCACAGGCTGAGTGTCTCACATGTCTGTGACTCTGGTCTAGACACTTTACTTTAGGTCTCCTTGATAATTTGAAAATGTTCAGTGTAGAAATTTTTAGAGAAGAAAAAGAGAGACTTTCTGTAGGTCCCCTCCCATGACCGCTGATGTCTAATTTATGAGGAAAAAGGGGTGGTGACACAGAAAAACTTCCATTTCATGCCAGGTGACTTGAGCTATCCACGCGCCCTACTGTATTGACAGGATCCATGGGATCAGGCCAGGAACTCCAGGATCCTTCCAGAGATGCAGATGGCAAAATGCTTTTCTAGTTACTTCTGATAAAAGCCTCTTGATGGGTTTCTTATCAGCCCAAAGATTGCAGGGGTCTGGCCGCCCTCCCAGACCCTGCCCTGCCCCTGTCCAAGTGCAGCAGCACCCCCTACAGGCAGCTGGGAGAGCCCACAGGGACAAGCTTCTCCATCCAGGCTGGACAGGCTGGGTGAAGGTTTTCCCACACCTTCCTCCCCAGACCAGGCTGGTCCCAGTGTCCCGAGAACCTCTTGTCAGAGATCTAAGGGCTCCTGATCCTCCTTTTCTCAGACCCTGCTGAGTGGCCTTGAGATCATCGCTCCCTCTCAGACTTATCTCTTCTCTGTCCAGTACACTCCCCACATTCTGTGTTCTGGGTCACAGAACTGTTCAATTTCAGGGGAAGAAGTGATGGGTATCCACAGAGGATCCAAGGAAGCTGTCCCAGTACCTGAGGCCAAGGCAGCTGCACAGGTCTCCACAGGGAAAAAGGGAGCAGGAACTCCTCCCCCAGCTTGCCAGGCCCAGGGGAGTAAGGGAAGGGCTGGGTGGTTGTGCTGACCCCACGAGAGTCTCACCTGTCCCCATGCAGAGCACCATCCTGGAGGCCCTCATATGTTGTAAGCTCGTGTTAAAAGTAACTCACATATTACCTGGAAACCCCCTCCCCCCCATCACACTCAGTACACATCATTCCTGCTCCAAATCCTTCATGTATGCAAATGTCACCATGGGTCTGAGTTGGTCTGAATCCTAATTCCCCTCAGGTTGCCAGTGTCCCATCTGATCCACAAATTCACCAGGTTCTTCCCCACAGAGGGCTGACTGAGCTCTTCCCCTCACACATCCTGTGTCTTGAGCCTTTTCAAATTCCTAACAGCAGTTCCAGAGAAAAAGACCTCTTAACATGTCAGTACATCACAGCCTGTCTTCTATGTTCTATCTAACATCCTTATTAGTTATCTCAATCGAGTCAATAGCAAAATTTTTATGACTGGATTTATTTGTGTATGGTGAGAAATGCTGTTTTACTACAAGATCACACACATCCAATGCAGAGTTACAGAAACAGAGAAGCCTATTTCTCTTTGCAAAGCAAGTCAGAGGTAAGACCCGGATGGATTTCCGGATTCCAGCACTTCCACGAAGATCCAGCACCAGGATCTTCCTCTGTCACTATGATGTTGGCTTTGTTTTCAGTCCTGGTGGCACAAGTGTCAGGAGAGCTGCTGTAGCTCCAACCATCACACCTACATTAAAGAAGAAAGGAGCAGCAGAAATCCAGCAGGTTTCTTTCCTTCACAAGAGCAACGGTTCCCAGAGAAGAAACAGAAATGTGACCCTGACACCCACGGGCCATCCCTGGGCCACAGCCCATCCTGACTGTGAGAGACCTGGGTGGGCGGGTGGTGATATTATTAAATGCACATAGCAGACAGTGCTCAGGAAGAAGGTAGTGAGGACTGTCTGCTGTGTCTGCAAACCCAGTGTGTCTCCTACACAGAGCCGTAAAGAAGGAAAGAAACTCAAGAAGGCTGTGCCTTCATTATCATTTTTTTCTCAAAAATTTGGTAATTTCCTTGTCGATCTTGTCTGGAAGAAGCCCAAGTGCCCATCGACCCATGAATGAATCAATAAATTGTAGTATATGTGCACCATGGAATATTAGGCAGCCTTAAAGAAAGATGGAGACTTTACCTCTTACATGTTTACATGGATGGAGCTGGAACATATTCTTCTTAGCAAAGTATCTCCAGAATGGAAGAAAAAGTATCCAATGTACTCAGTCTTACTATGAGACCAATTTATAGTTTTCTTATGAAAGCTATAATCCAAGTATAGCCCAAGAAGAAGGGGAAAGGGGAGAGGGAGGGAAGGGGAGAGGAGAGGATGGGTGGAGGGAGGGTAATTGGTGGGACCACACCTACAGTGCATCTTACAAGGGTACATGTGAAATTTACTAGGTATAGAATGTAAATGTCTTAACACAATAACTAAGAAAATGCTGTGAAGGCTATGTCAACCAGTTTGATGAAAACATTTCAAATTGTATATAAAACCAGCACATTGTACCCCATGATGGCATTAATGTACACAGCTATGATTTAATAAAAAAAAAAAAAGAAGGAGGCTGTGTTTTGTTCATGCCGAATTCTCAGAATGAAAGTTGCCAGAGCAGAGTGGGTCTGGATGAACGTCCGCTGTGGGGATGGTCTACTGTGTGTTTGGTGCAGCCCCACAGGCACTGGTCATGGCCCTGAATCCACAGTCCCTGAGCACCGTGTGCCCAGTGCCAAGCCCTGGTATCTCCTGCAGGAACAACCATGCCCCAGACGCACACGCAGGGGGGCCTCAGCTGGGCCCTGACCCTTTCCCCTCCAAATGGTGAAGTTCATATATTCATAGGTAATTTGAGTCCCCATGCCTGTTCTGGAGGCAGCAGAAGTTGCATAGAGAAGAGGAACCCTCTCCTGGGGTAGCAGCCTGGGGATCAGGGATGCAGGGACCTGAGCAGCAGCTTGTGAATCTGCACCTGTGCCCAGGAGCCCCTTGAGCTGCAGCCGCCAGTGTGGGGCGGCCACCAGGGGGCGGCAGAGTCACCTGGTTCTAATCACAGGAGTCAGCCTTGCTCCCACTCGTCTTTCTCCTGCTTGATGTGAAGCACAGATTCCAGCTCCACGTCTCACATCAGGCTGCTCTGTAGCTTCCTATTTCTCTGGTCCAGGGACAAGGACTTCATTACCCCCACCCTGGGAGCCCCACGGAGGCTCAGTCTCTGTAGGTGCCAAGCTCCCCTAGAGCACTGGGAGCTGTCCATGACTTCCAGTACACACTGGGGACACCAAGGCCCAGGACGAGGACCTGCCTCAGGGCTCATACCAAGGGCAGGGACTTATAGATCCTGAGATGCTCTTGAACAGTGCATGTGAGCTGCTGGGTGACTCACACCTGTAATCTTCCCACAGTAGGAGGCAGAGAAGACAGAATGGTGGGAGCCCAGGGTTCCAGGCCCGGGGTTCCAGCCCGGGGTTCCACAGGTGACAGAGTGAGCTGCTGCCTCCAACAAAAACCCGTATGCTCATGAGAATCCAGCACTGTGAACAGGGCTGTAAGCTCAGGGTCAGGAATCTGAGTTAGGACCTGCAACTGCTGAGCTCTGTGTTGTCACCTGTGGAAAGGAATAAGGAGAATCAGGCAGTGTCACGTGTGAGCTCAGCATGGCCTGGAGAGAGACCTGAACATAGTTGTGGGTGGAGATATTGGCCCAGACTATGAGACCAGCTGATGGAAAAGACTCCTGGGTGTTAAGCTGGGTCTGCAGGTGCCGCTCCCCTACCCCGGGCCCCTGGGCTGAGCCTGTCTGGAAACCACAGAGCTCCTCAGGCAGCAGCCCCTGACTCAGGCTCATTTGCATCCTGGGCAGCTCTCTCCACCAGGAGATAAGACAGGCCTGGGAGGCACCTGCCCTGCCCGGGCCTCAGAAGCAGCATCAGGAGTGTCTCCACCATGGCCTGGACCCCTATCCTCCTGGGCCTCCTGGCTCACTGCACAGGTGCTGTCCCAGGGACCCCACCTGCCCAGCTCCTGGGATTAGGGACAAGCCTGGGCCTGAGTCTGAGCTGATCAGGGCCTTGGCTGTGGAGGGTAGGGGGTTCCTGAGTCTGCTGCAGGGTGAGGGGCCAGGGGCTGAGACCCCCACAATGTGGCACTGGTATTTTTGCTGTGAGGCCCCTGGTTTCAAGCCATTCATTTTTCTCCTTACAGGGTTCGTGGCCTCCTATGAGCTCACCCAGCCACCCTCAGTATCAGTGTCCCTGGGAGAGACAGCCAGGATCACCTGCGGGGGAAACAATATTGGCAGCAGCGTTGTGAATTGGTACCAGCAGAAGCCAGGCCAGTCCCCTGTGCTAATCATCTATGATGATAGCAACCGGCCCTCAGGGATCCCTGAGCGATTCTCAGGTTCCAACTCAGGGAACACGGCCAC